CCTTACGCCGTAATATTTGCATAAGTTTACAAATCGTAAATCTTACGCAATACTTCGCATTAAAAATATTCCTGATGAAGTTAACAACATATAAAAAAATATATATTATTATCTTTAAATAGATATCATAAAATAAAAAAAAAGAGTAAAAAATAATTACTTAATATTAGTAGTTTTATTTATTATTATTTAAACTATAATTTATTATATTTATACTAATATTTTTATATTTTATTTAAATTAATATTAACATTAATAAAAATGCTTATCATATTAATACTTCAAGAAATTTTATAAAAATAAGTATATAAAAATAGAATATTTTATTATACATAAATATTAATCAATTCATATATTTATTATATATGAAAGTTAACAATCAATTAAATGATTATAATTAAATATATTTTGATAAATATAGTAATTTATAATTTATTGAAATTATTTTTTAAAAAATAAAAATTTATATTATTTTTTAAATAAAGAAAAATTTAATAAATTTTAAATAAAAATTAGTTTTTAATAATACTCTAATATATTATTTATAAATTAAAGATAAATATTTTATTAATTTTTAATAGATAATTTTAATTATATTATTAATAATATAATATTTATATAATTATATTTATTATATTAAGACTAGTTTATTGAGTAATTAATTTAATATGTTACTAAATTGTTTAATTAGTTTAAAAACTAGAATAAATAAAATTAATTATTATTACTGTATTTTCAAAATAGTATAATACAACTTATGTGCATAAAAATCTGATTACTAATTAAGATTATCAGAAAAATAACCATATATTAATCAAAATATTATAAATAATTTTAATAAAATAAGATGCATTTATTTCAATTTCTTAAATAAACAATAATAAATACTTTTAATATTTAAAAGTAATACTTATTTTAGTTGTAAAAGATATCTTATTATATATTAAACTTAGTATGAAAAACTATTAAGCTAAATAAAAGTAATAGAACTGATAAAGTAAAAATTGCATATCTTTAGATTTCATCACCTAATTTACTTTTTGAACCATTCAAATTTATTCAAGAAAAAATTATCTATTTGGTTATTCTTTAAATATTAAAATAAAATTTAGTTTTATTTTTTGTTACACTTATAATAATCATTTTTATTTTATATGAATTTCTACAAGAATCATTAGAATAAATTCAAATGATAAGAATTTGAAATACTAATGAGATAAATAAAGTAAAACAATTTTAACATTCAATTTAGTAATAAAACCTTCTACTGATTCAGTATTACTATTCAAATGAGTAGAGATAGAAGAGGATCTTGAATATCTTTCATTTAACTTATAAATGACATATAGTAAAATATATTTTTATAATAACTCAGTTAATATCAATACTAAAAATATAATTTACTACTATTAGATTTATCTTGTCAAGATAATTTTAATGATATTAAAATAATTTAAATCTAATTACTGGTTAGTTTAAAAACTAAAATATATAGGATAACAAATTTTAAAGACTCCTGTAATATGCTTTATGCTGCGCTTTCGAATCACGAGAAATATGCTCTTTGTTCGATTGCCGTTGGACTTATTGGTGATATCTGTCGTGCCCTTCAAGAGGCATCATTGCCATATTGTGATACATTTATGAACATGTTATTGCAAATGCTTCAAGTATTTTTTTTTCTCCT